CATCAAGGGCTCTGCCTGTAACCCTTCAATATACATATACATATAAGTGTTCGTCGGAGCCAGTAAGTCTGTAACGCCTCCACAGACGATTCCTTTTTCTGAAAGAGGCCTTCAAGTCCGGGTTTATCCATTTTGGGTGGTTTGTGATTTCCTTTCTTCTGAGAGGACAATTGGAATAAACAATCTCTTTCAGTAAGGAACTGAATGTATTCTAGTTATCGTTTGCAAAGCCTCTTCAACAAACTAGACGTACTAAAAGACTTAGATGTTGAAATTAAGCCAGATATTATGACATTCACAGAAACGTGGCTTACAGAAGATATCGCGGATTCAGGAACATCACTTAGAGGATATCAGCAATTCAGGAGAGGCAGGCTAAGCCGAGGGAGGGGAGTCAAACTTTATGTCACTTGCAAGCTGAGCGCTATAGCTGATGTACATAGTCTGGTACGGGATGTGGAACTGCTAGGCGTTACCATATCTGCTAAGAATGTCCGATCACTGACTCTTTCGGTGATGTACCGTTTACCTAATCATACTTCTGACCATGATCTCATGCTCGTAACTGAACTTAACAAAGTCAGTGGGAAGAAAGATATCCTTATCTTTGGGGATTTTAACGCTCCTGGAATTGATTGGCTAACGTGGACTGCACAAGGGCCGCAAGACAGCTTTAATGACAAACTGCTACAATTGGCAACGGACAAACTTCTCTGCCAGAATGTTACCTTTGGAACAGGGGCCAGGGAAGGACAGCACTCCAACTGCATTGATTTTATTTTTACCCAAGAGGAGGAAAATGTGTTAGACCTGCAGGACCGACCGCCATTAGGGTCAAGCGACCACATCACGCTCTACTTCGAGTACTCACTGTTTTCCAAACCCGTTCAACCCGATAGGTGAGAGAAAGACATTTGTAAGGGGAACTATTCTCTCATGAGGAGGAAAGCGGCAGCTGTATCATGGGAGACTGAACTGCATGGCGGAGCAGGCAGCAATTGGAATACTTTCAGTTCCTTACTGAGAGAGATTGTTTATTCCAACTGTCATCTCAGAATAAAGACAATCGCAAACTGCCCAAAGTGAATAAACTCGGACTTAAAGGCTTCTTTCGAAAATGTAACCGCCTGTGGAGGCGTTACTGACTTACTGGCTCCGACGAACACTTACAGGAATATAAGCAGTAGCGAAACGTTTGTAAAATTGAGGCCTCAAAGCTGCGAAGGGAGTTTGAGCTGAACATACTTCGAAATTCGTTGGACCATCCGAAAATTCTATATGGTTATATACGAAGTACTAAAAGGACTCAGGAGCTCATCCCTGCCCTCGGGTCTGCAGATGGAAAAGTGGAGATTTATGACCAGGTTAAAGCGTCCCTGCTTTCCGACTTCTTTCAGTCCGTCTTCACGCGAGAACCTAGTTCTATATTTGTCTATCCATCCGTTTGCCAACCAACCTCTCTTACCATTACCCTTCCCCCTCCTATACCTCCCTTAACCTCCTCAACCGAGGAATTACTATTTTCGTCGACCATAGTTAGGGCCGAGCTACTCCGGCTGAAACCTGCCAAATCGCCTGGCCCAGATCGAATTCCCGCCCTAGCACTTTGTGAACCTGCTAATGAACTGTGCAAACCCTTATCCGCAATATTTCAAAAGTCAGTTGAAGACGGCGAGCTCCCGGAAGAATGGAAGTGCGCACTCATTACTCCGATCCATAAAGGAGGCTCAATACTTAACAGCGGAAATTATCGTCCCGTCAGTCTTACTTGCATCGCCTGTAACATAATGGAAAGCACTATCAAAAGACACTTTAATTTAATTTACTTTATTATTAAATGCCAGTTTACATGCATTGTCAAGGGAAGCGATTAAACACAAATCCGACCAGCAGTGAAATACCTGCAACAGAACAAAATATTGTGTGATGCCCAACACGCCTTTCGTCCAGGGCGCTCCTGCCTAACGAGTGTTCTTTACTCACACGAGAAATGGACACGAGCTACCGATAAGGGTTTTCCACTGGATGTCATATTTTTTGACTTTAAGAAGGCCTTTGACAGTGTCCCACACAGGCTTTCTTACAGAAGGTCTGGGAAATAGGAATCCAAGGAAGAATGTTCAAATGGATCAGGAGTTTTCTGTCCTCCAGTGTACAAAGAATCGTCGTTGGTAACTCTACGTCGGGATGGGCAAATGTGGAAAGTGGTGTCCCACAGGGTTCTGTCTAAGGCCCAGTACTCTTCCTGATTTATGTTAATGACTGCATCAGCAAGGTGAATTGCCAGGCTCTCATGTTCGCGGATGACAAACCTATGGGGCGAAGTCAAGTGTGATGATGACGCAGAGAAATTGCAGTCGAACATCGACAAACTGTGTGCTTGGTCGAAGAGATGGCTTTTGAAGTTTAACGTGTCCAAATGCGTGGTTTTGCACCTGAACACGGGCCGCAATGCCTCTCCCAAACACCAGTATTATATTGACGTGACGAGGTTAGAAACGGTGGAAAGACACAGAGATTTGGGTGTATGGACAACCACAAATCTATCGCCATTAGAACACTGTAGAATGATGGTCCAGAAGGCAACTAGTACTTTACACTGGATCAGACGTGCATTTAAAATATTTCCTCCCGAACTCTTTGAAAGGCTCTTTGGTGTCTTTGTAAGACCTCATCTGGAGTATGGAATGCCAGCAGCTTCACCATGGATGAGGAAGGATATCAATTTATTCGAACAGGTGCAACGCAGAGCGACAGAGATTGTCGACGGTCTAAAGCTGAATTTGCTTGGCTTATTCCCCCTTTCCTATAGACACATAATCTGCAGTCTACTTTGGACGTTCCAGATGGTGCGCGGCCAGGGTTGCTCATTAAGAGCAGAGGACTTCTTTGAGTTTGCCCGTACAAACCAACTACGCGGCCATGCATTCAAAGTCGGGAATGAGCGCACACGTTTAGACCGACGAAAATTTTCATTCAGCCAGCGGGTTGTCAGGGCGTGGAACTCGCTTCCAAGCGAGATGGTGACGGCTGACACAGTTTGTGTGTTTAAAAGAAAACTTGCTCGTCTAGTTTTCGACAGAAATCGGATTTTTCAGCATGACTGTGCACGGCCATTATTGTAAAAACCCTCCGCAATTATTTACACTGACCTTATGCACTACCTTATGATTACGATTGAACTGTGACCCAATCACATTTTAAAAGCCTGCAATTTTATTTTTGAGTACGAATCTGCGAGAGCGCTGTACATAAATAGGGTCATCAAGGGCTCTGCCTCTAACACGCTAAATATATTTACATACATATTTGGAAGAGGACGATTAGGCGATCTCTGAGGAAGACGGTTTATTCATCTGACGTTTCGCGTTCATGCTCGAGTACATCATCGGAGATAGACTAAGTAAGAAATACAGGGTTTAAATAGGCCATCTGCGCTCGCATCCGATAGGTTCGTCCCGTTCGCTTCTCGTTGGCCACCCTCTCGCGCGTAGATGGTGCCTGACGGCCTCGTATGGCGCTGGCCAATCGATACTGCGGTTGATCGAGTTGGTGTCTGATTTCCAGGCCTCGATTACTTCTCTCGTCAGTTTTCTTTCGGCTCGGCCGAGCACTTGGGCGCCGTCAAAGTCGAACTTGTGATTATTTTCCAGACAGTGCATGGCGACATGCGATCGTACTTCCTTTCGCCTTACGGTCAAAGTGTGCTCATGCATGCGCGTTATTAGGCGTTTGTCGATTATACAACAGTAGTTGGCTAGACAGTCCAGACATTTGACGCGGTAAATGACGCCTGACGTGCCTGCAAGTGGTAGCCGGTCCTTGGGCTGCATGATTAGGCGGCGGATGGAGGCCTCCGGTCGGTGTACAACGCCCACGTCTAGTGGCCTTAGCATGCGCTCAGTGGTTTTGGAGAAGTTACTCACGTAGGGCAACACACGGAAGATTTCTAATCTTTGTTTCTTCACACCGTCGGCTTCATGTGCCTTCGGTACAAACATTTGTTCATAAAATTGCGTGGATATCCATTGGCAAGGAAGAGGCGCCATAGGGTTTTACGCTCCCGCAGCTTCTCGGCTTCTGTGCTGCAGTGTGTGTGGATGCGGCGAAAAAGTGTCCGGACACAACTACGCTTATTCGACAGGGGATGATTGTTGTTGTAGCGAAGAATTTTCTCCGTATCTGTCGCCTTTCGAAATACACCAGTCCGGAGGGTTCCGTCTTTCTGCCTTGATACCTGAACGTCGAGGAAAGGGAACACTCCGTCATTGGACTCGGTTTTTCCGCAAATCCAATTTACGACGGAGGAAGAAAATGACGGAGTGTTCCCTTTCCTCGACGTCCAGGTATCAAGGCAGAAAGACAGAACCCTCCGGACTGGTGTATTTCGAAAGGCGACAGATACGGAGAAAATTCTTCGCTACAACAACAATCATCCCCGGTCGAATAAGCGTAGTTGTGTCCGGACACTTTTTCGCCGCATCCACACACACTGCAGCACAGAAGCCGAGAAGCTGCGGAAGTTGCGGAAGCGTAAAACCCTATGGCGCCTCTTCATTGCCAATGGATATCCACGCAATTTGGTGAACAAATGCTTGTACCGAAGGCACAATGGGTGAAACCATTGGATGGAGGCAAGGGGTCTACGACACATGGCTGAACCATGCGTCAGGACTGGGGAAAGTGCCTGGTGGGGACTTGTTGTGACGCTGCACCTTGTTGCGCTGGCAGCTCAGACACGATCGGGTCCAAGCATTGACGTCCTTGTTCATGCCAGGCTAGTCAAACCTTTCCTTGAGGAGCTATTGAGAAACTCGGATCCCAGGGTGGGATAGTCCATGCAGAGTTTGAGATACAGCTCGATGCATAAAGGTGCACACAAAAGGGCGATGAAAGGGAGTTGCGACATCACAAAGTATGGTACCGGAGCCGGTGGTCAGAGGAAAGTCCTTGAGTTGGAGACCACTAACAGACTAGTCACTAGGACAACCGACTCGCTGTTACCCAGCCGCCATGGCCCAAAGATCGATCCCGTGTGAGAGTAGGAGGGAAGACAATGAGGGGCTGGACAGCATATCAGCCACCTCATTCTTCGTGCCATCAATGTGGCGGATGTCGGTGGTGAATTGGGAGATGTAGTCCAGGTGGACTATTTCCCTCGGATCGCACTTGTCGGAGTGGGGCCGAAGTGCAGAAGTCAACGGTTTGTGGTCAGTGAAAACAGTGAAGTCACGACCTTCAAGGAAATGCCAAAAATGCATCACAGCCAGGTAAATGGCGAGTAGTTCACGGCCAAAGGTACTGTAGCGTGTCTCGGCCGGTAAGAGCTTTTTGGAGAATACGGCAAGTAGTCGAGTGGAATCAGTAAGGTGTTGTTGAAGGGCTGCACCGACGGCTGCGGTCGAAGCATCTACTATCATAGACAACTGAGATTCGGGAGCGGGATGAGTGAGTAAGGTGGCATCGGCAAGGGAATTCTTTGTTCTCTCAAAAGCAGTTAGTGCTTCACCAGGCCGCTCGAGGGGGCCTCTGGGACCATAAAGCATGTTAGCGAGCGGCAGCATAAGGTCAGCACAGTTCGGCAGGAACCGGCGGCAAAAATTGACCATGCCGAGGAATCGCCGCAACTGACGCATGGAAGTTGCTGGAGGAAAATTACGAACTGCTTCAACCTTGGAGGGGAGGGGACGCGAACCTTTAGAGTAGACCTGATGGCCGAAGAATACGAGTGAAGACACACCCAGCACGCACTTGGAGGGGTTGACGACAACGCCAAACTTGTCAAGGCGGTCAAACACCAAGGCAAGATGCCCTTTGCGTTCTTCGTCATTCCGGCTGTCCACCAAGAGGTCATCAATGTAGGCGTACACAAAGGGTAGGCCATGTAAGGCATGGTAGCTGAACCTCTGAAACGTTTAGGTGACATTACAAAGACCGAACGGCATGAGGATGAACTCGAAGAGACCAAAGGGTGTGATGACGACGGTTTTAGGGATGCCCTCAGGGGCGACTGGAATCTGATGAAAAGCACGCACCAGATCAATCTTCGAGAAAACCGCTTTGCCGAAAAGGGCTCCAGCAACGTCCTGAAGATGAGGCACGGGATACCGATCAGGAATGATAGCGCTGTTGAGGGCTCGATAGTCGCCACAGGGTCTCCAGTCGCATGATGTCGCCTTGGACACCATGTGCAGTGGGGACGCTAAGGGCTCTCAAACTGTCGAATTATTCCCAGTTGCAGCATGCGTTCAAACTCCGCCTTCGCGACCTGAAAACGCTCCGGTGCTAGTCGTCTCGGTCGAGCCAATACGGGAGGTCCCGAGGTGCGGATATGGTGCCCAACAGCATGTTGAACCTCACCACTGCGAAACTGGGGTTAATTATTTTGGGGTGACTAAGAAGCGGTTGACATAAGGGGCTAGCAATATCCGTATTCAAGACAGATAAGTTGGTGGAGGCAGTAAAGGGAGTTAGTCCACGAACAAACAGACTGGTTGTGCGGTCAAGGAGACGGGCACATCGGCAATCATCAAGGAGATCGAACTCGACAAGAAAGTCCGAGCCGAGGATTGCATGAGGGACATCAGAAATCACAAAGATCCTGGTGAATGACCGACGGATGTCCATGTTCGGGGTGAGGGACAGACTGCCAAAAGTGGGAATAGAGGAACAGTCGGCAGTTTGAAGGTAAAGACCAGGGCTATCAAAACGACGATAAGCTACAGTTGGGGTAGCAATGCTGATTTGGGCTCCAGTGTCCACCAGGAAAAGTTTGCGAGTCGCAGTGTCGCAAACATAGAAGGTGCGACCGGAGCCGGAGGAGCCAGAGAAAACGGCCGCATCAATTCTCTGACTGACTGGTTTCCCTATTTCGGCTTAAAAGATCGAGGTGAGAAACAGCGACGGGTCTCTACGTCGAAATTACTGTGATACCAACAAGTATCGGTAGTCTGAGGTCGCGAACAAGAACGACGACGGCTGCGTGAGTGACTAGAAGTAAGGAGGGGAGCTGTATTTTAAGGTAGGCCATCTCAGTCAGTCAGTCAGTGTATTTGAGGGAAATAGGCTTACGTCTTGACCGACGCCAGCTCCATTAAATGCTCATTCATTGACGATGAGGATGAGGAGATCTCGGTAACGGAAGGTGACTTGAACCGCTTCACCTCTATCATTCGATCCGTCATCTCAGCCAGCTGTGATACCGTGAGATCTTAAGGACCGGGCGCCAGGATCGTTTGAACATCTGCAGGCAGACGCTCTGGAAGCATCTCCTTGAAGAATTTATCGTAAACTTGCATGTCTCCAAAGAGAGAACGCATTCAACGTAGAAGTTCTGAGGGCTTCCGTTCACCCGGTGACTCCTCCTTTGGTAACTGGTGATACCGCTGCCGGTCGGACACAGAATTAAGTCGAAGAATTTCTGCCCTTAGCGTGGAATAGGGGCATCTGCAGGAGGATTTGATAGCAAGAACTGAACTTGAGAGATGACACTAGCAAAGAGAACCTCCAAAAGTTTGTGATATTTCGCCTACTCCTTGGTAACTTTAGCAGAATAAAAGGCTGATTTTATGCGGATGAAGTAATGTTCTGGAGCGTGTTGCCAGAATTCAGGCAAGGTAAAATTTATGGCCTTAAGGGACTGGGCGGGGACATCAAGTTGTTGATTAAATCGAGACATAATAATTAAGACAGAGATGGTAAAATAACAGAATTCGTGAAAAAATAGACGTAAATATAAGAGAAATTCACAAACAAGTAGTACGTTAAATGTTATTCAGTATGACATAGAAAGGTATAAAGTCTGCGTTAACGTCGGGAGTCACCAATGACTTAGAAGGTAATGTTCTCATGAACTAACGAGTTATATCTCACGAGCCTCTAGCCTTAAAAGCAGCAAGTAAAACTGAGCAGTGAATAGTATAGAGATTTTGAACGCTAAGGAACCTGATAACAGAGCGCGGTAGCGGAGCACGCTAGCATGGCGGGTTGTATAGGTGTTGTTTTCCGTCACATTCAAACAAGCAATCCGGGCAAAGAAAACAGGACTAAATTGTCAAAGGTAAATTGGTCCGGTACCTCACCACATCGGGCTCAAAAAACGAAGGCTGCCTGCGTACAAGCAGTCCAGAAAAGGAAGACGGCCAGGATGCACATGAAGGACACACAGAAGCTCTCAGTTATGTCACAAAACGAAGACATCGAACACCTCGTTGGCCGAAACTAAGCTGCAATGTTCAAAAGGAAACCCCAAACGTAACTGAGGCTTGATTTTTCGATGAACAACACGGAAACACAGAAAGAAGTGTTATTAACACGAAAATGAACGAATCGTTCACGCCTCATTTGTGCTGCTGAACGGAAGAAAATAGAATTCGTCTAACATTTTTACCAAAAGTGTTTTAGCCCCGGAACACCGGAATGTTTCGTACCAAGAACGTTGCCGGCTAACAAGCCTTGATCCTTTGTGGTTTCCTAGATTAAAAGGGGATTATTTTAAATAGTTAGTCCTTATATTCTCGTACATTTAACCCGCTCACTACTTTAAAACATCTTGTCCACCATCGACGTAACAGTCACCGTGAGGTCTTATTATTTTTTCCACTGGCACGTACCGTTAAATATCATCGACTCGTTTCTGTGAACGCTACTGCTATTTGGAATGAATTGCCCAGGAATGTGAAGATTCTGCAAAATTATTCTTTGTTTAAAAGGACTATTACTCGTTTTTTGCATTCGAAAAAACTCCCAAAAATTTCGGATGCTGAATCCACTGATCGAATATACCGTATTGATGGAGTTCTCGGTCTCTGATCCCCATGGCCGGTCTCACCAGGAACAATTTTTTCAGCCAACAGCGGCAGCTGTTCTTCAGTGCTTCTGTTTGAGTAAGTCTCATTTTCACGAGATAGGAGTAGAGAGTCTTTAGCTATTAATGACTTCTAAATCGGTTGCTCGGATCTTCCATCAAAGATCATGAGCTAAATCCCACCAAGTCATTCCGCCTTTGCTTAGTACCAACGATGCCTTTTTACAGAGGAGTCAGGCAAAGCAGAAATGTTAAATTAATTCTTTGCCAAGCATTTTACCATTCAGTCTGACCCAATCTCTTTAGTTCCTCCGTTGTCTGATGCCTCTCTCAGCCTCAGTTATTTTTGTCCTGAAACTATTGAAAAACTGATAAGCCATCTTCCTTACTGTCACTCAGTAGGTACGGACAATATCCCAAACTCCCTCATAAAACAGCTAAGAGATTTTCCTTCTATGCTTAGCAAAATCTTTTCAGTATTTCTCGTAAATGGCTTCTTCCCTGACTATTTGAAAACTTCTATTATTATTGCAGTATTTAAGTCTGGCTGTTGTTCTGACGTTCAGGAATATCGAGGTGCCCATAAAACAACTTCTCCCGCTGTAACCTTCGAAAAAATTATCGTCTTAAAAATTGCCGACTTTTGCATAGCCCATCAAGTTATTTGCCCTTCCCAGCATGGTCTTTTACCAGATCGCTCTTGTAAAACATGTCATCTGTCGTTTCTCAGTCTTCTTACTTCTCTTCCTAATGACCATCTATTTGTTGTCGTTATTTATGTTGATCTTAGCAAAGTGTTTGATAAAGAGCCACATGAAAGACTCTTGGTTAAATTAGAAGCTCTGAGAATTCGCAGTCCCCTAATAGACTTTATCAAGTCATACCTGCCTAATCGTAAACGAAAGATTTTAGCGGGATCTTCGCTTTCCAGTGAAAGCCCTATTGTAAGTGCTGTCCTATAAGGTGCCGCTTTAGGTCCTCTTTTATTCCTGCTTTACATAAATGATATATCTGCGACAGTTAATCATTCTCAATCATTTATTTATGCCGATGATCTCAAAAGTGTATATTCTTTCAATAAATCTACCAGCCTTTATTGCCAGCAGCAAATCCACGCTGACTTACTTGCTCTTTCAGCGTCGAGCTCAAAATAGCTAATGAAATTCTTTCCGTCTAAATGTTGCTATATATGATTTGGACCTGAGAGGCTACCCCAATCAGTGGTCTTGCAAGGCACACCTATGACTGAATGCGCCACCGTCAAGGATTAAGATTTAAGCTACACTAATAATCTTGATCTCTCACCACATACTGACAGAATTACAAGGAGAGCTGCCCAGATATGTGGCTTTAGTTCTTACAATTTCCATCTTCCTGAAATTAAATCAAGACTCTATCGTATGTTTGTACTTGCCATTATCGAATATTGCTGCCCATTCTTTGGTTTGATGAACAAGACTGGTCGTTTAAAAATTGAAAATGTCCAAAGACGTTTTTATAAAAAACTTTTAGATAGGGAAAATCAAAATATCTCTTACTCAGATACATGTCAGTTAATTAACCTAAACTTTTTATGGGTCCGAAGACTAGAAGCAGCCTTTTGTCTCCTCTTTCGCATTAATAATAGTTCAAGTCTTCCTCCGATTTCAGCAGTTACCCCTGGTAGTCGCCCATACAGTCTTCGCAACTCATCTTTGATTACAACTTCTCCAGCTTCCTCCATCTATAAGCGCTCTTTTTTCGCTTCCAGATATAGTTTCTCCTGGAATGACCTCCCAATTAATAGAAGATCTTCAGATAATCTATACACTTTTAAGAGGAATCTACAACTTTATGTGAATATCGATTAAACTTTTATCTTCCTCATCCTTCTCGGCCAACTTTCTCCATGACACTGAGAGAGGGCCACCGTTAATTTAGGACGCCTCCATTAACTTTCCGTATCTGCTCACATTTCCTTCTTTTGTGAGTCGTATCGCTTCCTAATATCCCTCACCAGAAATGTTAATTTATCGATTTTTCAGTTCATGCATCATGCCCTCACAGAATGCGTTCCATCGACGCTCTTGGCGAAACCTTCTGTATTCGCCATATACTAGTAGTCTGGTCGTATCTCCCATGCGCCCTCCTCGGATGAATTCGGCTGAATATAACCGATTGCATCTGGGTTCCTATCACCTCGAGGCTGGTTTTCAATACGTCACATTGACATGAATGACCTCATCCGGCATATGAATTCTGCCTTGTTGATGCCCGTTTCGAATCTTTTACTCAAGGCCACATACAGGCCAGTCCTGCCTGACCCGCTTGCTTACTCCTTCATGAATTCCGTTATGCAATGCCATATGCAAGCCGGTTCTGACTGCTCTTTATATATTAGGGAGCAAGAGTTTTTATTTCTTTCTCCTATAATTCTAATCCAATCACACTCATTTTGTTTATGTTATGAGTTTATCTTCACTGCTCGCTCAACGTCCTTCGTAACGTACCACTTATTCAATAACGATGAATTAAGTATTGTATAAATTCTGTATGCCTCGTCTAAAATTCTAAAATTCGTGTAAAATTTATCCTTACTTGCTACGATAGGACCTCCACGGGTCTTGGATAACAAAATAAGATAAATTATTACTATTATTAAAAGAAATGACGACTGATAACATCGTATGTAATGTTGCCCGTCCCGTTCTGGAGTATCGTCACTTCTTGGACAGCAGTTTTTTCTTCCGAACCATTCACACCTTACGATTACCGAATTTTGCATAGCCAATCAAGTTATTAGCCCTTCCCAGCATGGTTTTTTACCAGATCGCTCTTGTGAAACATGTCATCTGTCGTTTCTCGATCTACTTACCTCTCTTCGTAATGATCACCTATCTGTTGTCGTTATTTATTTTGATCTTAGTAAAGCCTTTGATAAAGTGCCACATAAAAGACTCTTGATTAAATTGGAAGCTATGGGAATTCGCAGTCCATTGATAGAATTTCTCAGGTCATACCTGTCTAATCGTAAACAAAAGGTTTTGGTGGGATCTTCACTTTCCAGTGAAAGTCCTATTGTGAGCGGTGTCCTACAAGGTACCGTTTTAGGTCCTCTTTTGTTCTTGCTCTACATAAATGATATCTCAGCAGCAGTTAAACATTCTCAATCATTTATTTATGCCGATGATCTCAAATGTGTATATTCTTTCAATGAATCTACGAGCCTTCATTGTCTGGCGCAAATCCATGCTGACTTGCTTGCTCTCTCAGCTTGGAGCTCAAAATGGCTAATGGAATTCTCTCCGTCTAAATGTCGTTATATGTGTTTTGGACCTGATAGGCTACCCCAACCTGTGGTCTTTCAAGGAACACCTATGACTGAATGTACCACCATCA